GGGTACACCGTCTCCTATAGGAAAATATGGAAGGCAAAATAGAATATCATTAAAAAACTTCACGACGAGTGTGATTCATCTTACAACGAACTACCAAGTTAGTTTAACGTAGTGCGCAGACTGAATCATGAGACAATAGTTAACTTCGAAACTTGTCATGCATACCATAATGATCGAGTGCTTCGAGATCGATGCCAATTCCACCGACTTTTTTGGACTTACCCATAGTGAATTAATATTGTGAAATACTGCAAGTTGTGGTCCAAATTGATTGGACATTATTATATGGAAAATACAAGCAATTTTTACTACTGAAAGTTATCCAATATAGTAATCGTAACATTCTTTCAGTTGTTTTTGCTCTTGTTGAAGGTGAAAATACATATTCTTGGGCTTTTTTCCTTAGAAACTTACGCTTACATGTTGTCACGAGGGAAAAAAATTGCATCATTTCAGACTGCGGAGCTGGGATCAAAGCAACAATGAACTCTTTGGGTACAATGTGACAATTTCCCCATGTTTAACATTGATATTGTATCCGACACATATTGTAGCAAACTATCATAGAAAATTTAAGAAGAATGATGAACGCCAATTACTTATGCGTATGGGTATGTCACGATGTCTAATTTCATTTCTCAATCAACAACAACAACAACAACAACAAAACCCAATTCCCATATGCAATGGGGTAAGGGGGAGGTAGGGTAGTAGGCTACCCCCAACGCTAGGTTGAGAGTAGCTTCCGTGGAAGATCTCCGGCAGTCAGAAAATTAAAAATATAGATAAAATGCAATGCATGTATAAATAAATACAAAAATACATAGTTGAACAATATTCATATGCAGTTATTAATATCATTAATATCATATGCGTGTCTGTAATGGGCAGTAATCCCTGCAAAAAAAATCCCTGCGAAAAAATCTCTGTATATAGACAGAAACGTAAGACCCGACTAAAATTAAAAGTGGAGAGAATGATATACAGAAGTCAAACGATAGCAAACCCAGTTCTAAGCCTTCATAAATACCAATAACAGAAACGAATAAAAAGTAGAAGTCATGGAAATTACTACAAAGGCATTAAAAGAAGACAGAGATGATACACCCTAGAGATGTGACCCACACTACTCAACTATCCTAGTCTTAAGTCTCCATACTTTCCTATCAGAGGTCATGTCCTCGGTAAGGGCTAAATCCATCAAATCAGATCTCAAGCAGTCTTCCCACTTCCGCCTTGGTCGTCCTCTCCTTCTGGCACCGTCGACTATAATCGACTCTACCCTCCTGACCGCATCTGACGGTAGTCGCCTAAGGACATGTCCAACCCACCGTAGTCTTCCTTCCCTCAATTTTTTTGGAAACAGGCACCACCCCCAAGGACATCCTAATAGCAGAGTTTGTATTCATATCCCACAGAGTCCTACCGCATATCCATCGAAGCATTCTCATTTCTACGACCTCTATCATCCTTACATGATCCTTCTTGGTTGCCCAACATTCTGATCCATACAACAGCGCTGGTCTTATTGCCATTTTATAAAATTTTCATTTTTTATGGAAACTTAAAAGTAAATACTACATTTAGCATGTAGGTTATGAAATATTACCTCAAACGTTTGAGCCCATGCTTCAAGATTTACGAAGAAAAAACGAGCAATGATACAATTACATTAGCCTCATCAACAAAGAAATGTTGACAAATGTATACGATGGTGGATATCGATATGGACATATGACAACTAACTTGGATGAGACTATCAATTCAACCTTAATGAGAGAGCGCCATTTACCAGTAACAACTTTGGTTAAAATGACATATTTTTGTTTGTGAGCGCTTTTTGCCAAGCTCGGGGGGGACAATCTCTAACTTGGTGCAAAATGACCATGCTTATCATCCAAGATTAGTTGCAGACCTATAAAAAAGTGCTATATCAAATGGAATATATGTAACAAGCTTTTCTCGAACTCATGAATTATCTTATGTCATATAAATGCCTTGACCACTTCAAGGGATTGAAGTTAGGTCGTTTATAGTTAATCTATAAGACATATGGTGTGACTGTAGATTTTTTCAAGCTTTGAAGTATCCATGCTCCAATGTCATAGCAGCTTGCTCTTATACGTCAAGACTATAATCGTTTTTAGATCTCGTATACCGACTTTTAATCGTATTTAATGTATATGAATTTGATTTCCCCCGATAGACAATGAGAAAGACCCATACAAGGTTCAGAATTGGCTTATGATTGTATCATATCTATCCTTATTAAGGGAGGTAGGTCGTCCAAAATCCACTCAAATTCATTGTGATATGGATATTCGAGAGACTTCCTAAGAAAACAAAAGACGTGGGCATTGTAGAAACCTAGGCCACAATAGGAAAAAAATTCCTTCTCTTTTATCATCACGTAACCGTTGAGTATCACCATGTAATTATGGTTTCTAAAATCTCAGTTTGTGTTATTTCAGTTTCGTTTACTTTTAGTGAATGTCATTTGAACATCACCAAATAAATAGAAACAATAATACATTAATAAAATTAAAAAAAAATTTTACAAACTAAAATAAATAAACAAAAGTCCATAATTCATTACATTTACTGATAAACAAAATAAATAAATAAAAAATATATCAATGTTTGCGTCTTGAATGTGTTACACAGGGTGGTGGCTGTCTATTTTGCTGAGGGTTTATTGTATAACTTGCTCTTCCTCCTCAATCTCATTATCATCATCATCAGTAGTAGCAGCTATATTTTGTTGATTAGGGACGGATGACGATGTAGCACCTCTAAAGAATAATGACCTTTGGAGGTGTATGAGTAACCATCCCACCGCTCATAGAGAACTGTGAAAACTGCAAAAACATCAACATCGATGACTGTGATCCATACTGAGCCAGAGGTGTCTATGTTTGTAGTGTAGCACCACCTACCAAATAAGCAACATATGAAGACCATGTTGGATCCATAACTATGTCGTGGTGGTTCCATCTGAACTGGTTGCGGTGCCTTCTAAATCGAAGATGGACCAATATATATTGACAGGCTGGGAATGTAAACTGGTGTATATGGTGGATGTTATGATAATTCCAGTGTTGCAATTGAGGACGAGCTGAAAGTGTCTGCTCTCCGTCCATGAGTCGGGGGACGATGATGCTGTGACGGTGGACATTTTTCTCGGTGTCGATGAATACTCTCACCTCGTACTTCCTCCGAAAATAGGAATAGATCCACGTTCGTGTTAAACCATTGATAATAATCAGCCACAATCAAATAATGATCCACATAAATCAGCTTTATATAGGGAATGTGTCGACGTCGATCCTCCCAGATCTTTATTTACTCGTTGTGCTTGATCAGCCAATTGACATCCTTTTTGCCCCGTCTATCGACGTTATGCATATTGTCGAGATTCCTATGTGCTTCAAGAATATATTGTACGAAGCTAAATTAGCGAAGCACGCAATCAGTAAGATGCCACTCGACAATGGCATAACATATCAGAAGGACCATCGCCATCCATACATCTAATGAGCCACTCAAATGAGGTGGAATGTAAATCCTCATTTCTTCAATAGAATAAAAAGCTCATTGAAACTAAAATATATATATATAATTCTTATAAAAATAATATTCTAATTATATAACGATAATTAAAGTTAATAATAAAATACAAATATATACCTTTGTATTAGTATTCTGATCAATGAATAGTCGAATTTCTTCCAATTCGTCTGCTATATCACAATGTTTTTTCCTTGTACATGACCACTTATTCAATGTAAAAAAATATTTCTTTGTATACTCAAAAATATTATTTATATACGAACTTAGTATTGAAATCACCTCAACAATAACGGGAAGACCAACAAGATATTCACAACCGGATGTAAAAAGGGCATGTGATACCACACCCATGATTGGAGAAGAAGGAATCATTCATCGATAGCATTTTTTCGATAATCAGTTGTCTGACACATTTCTCTATATAGAAATGCCAAAATTGTGGAGTCCCAACTAGGTAAGCCGGCAACGCAAAAACCTTTGAGATGACACAACTACATACAATGAACTTGGTTGCGAGATTTTTCGGACATCAAGATTCATTCTAGAAGTTCTAATATGCAAGCCTAAGAAAATATTTTAACTTGTTCCGAGGAACAATCTTTACTTAAATGTTGAAAATTTATAGCAACCATGATAATTGTATTCGACCACCTTTAAAATTAGGAGGGATACCTCCAAGATACTCCTCGCACAAGGAATGACAATGACTATCCGCCACACCAAAAATAACATCCGTATCTACAGGAAGCCCCAAATTTATAAAAGTATCCTCCAACGTATAGTGCATCCCCATATAGAAAATGGAATGTGTATGTCTCTGGTCTCTACCTCTTAATCAGTACAAAAATAAGATTGAGTTTAAGGTTACAATGTCCTTCATATTTCTCTATGTAACCGAATCCAACCTCGGTTAAATACAACCAGACACGACTCGGTATCTCTAACTTAGCGTTACGAATAAATGGATCTAATATACGGTCATTCCCCTAATTAAATAAATAGTTTACAAATTAAAATATAATTAATACTAAAATAAATAAATAAAAAATTCACAATAATTAAAATAAAAAAATTTAAAATTGTTACCATATCGACAAAAAGACTCGAGATATGATTCTCATCTAAACGCAACAACCCACATTCCATTTTATAACAGCGAAAAGCAAAAAAAAAATAATATAGTAAAATATAATAAAATAATAAACTATTAAATAATTATAACATAATAAAAAATACCTTAAAAACGATAATAAAACCTATTTAAAACTTGATAGAAGGATTGATAAAATGAAAAAGAAAATTTTTTGGTATGATTTGAGGGTTGTATGAGAGAGGATATTTATAGGGGAGGGGGAGGGGCGGTATTAAAGGGGGTTGATGATAATTAAAGATATGGGGACAGACGGTTGGGCAATATTAAAGGGGTATTGATGGGATACGTGCCTCAAGATCTGCGCCTTCCCCTACGTGTCAGATTTCCCGTGAAGGCGCGCTTTGTGAGTTATGCCTTTCCACCGTGGTACCAGTTCGGACATAACCCTAGGAAAGCACACTTCCCAATCCGCGCTTTTCGTCCAACTGTAAGAAATGGTGGCAGATCGGTAAAATTTGGAGAAACGGTGCATGACAGGTAATTATTTACTATTAGTATGATTTTTGGGTAAAGACGCTATGTATTTCATCTTAAAATGTTATATTGTTTAATCTAAAAATATTTATAATTAATAATAATTTCGATTATAACTGAAAATATTACGTTACGTTGAATTTTAACCTAAAATGTTGCGTAATTGATAATAATGTTGACTATAACCGAGTTATATTTTCGATTTCAACTTAAATTATTTGTCAATTTGCTCTAAAGAGTTACACGCTTAATAAACTTTTCGGTTAACTGATTGTAATTAAAATTAAAATTTTATATTAACCAATTGTATTTTGACTTTTCCTCCTTCATGTTCATATTAGGTTGTATTCGATTTAAATACATTATTAATTCTATTATTTTATAAGGTTAATCAATTAATTCAGATTTAATATTACAAGATTATATTATGGGATGGACATTTCTCACCTCTTAAAATTCCATTTTTATATGAATCTCAATTTATTCTCATTTTAAACTGTCCATTTTGTATAATCTTATTGTAAATTCTAATTACTTTAAGCTATAAAAATAAATAATAGCTAGTAAAAAGGTGAAAGTTAATAAAATATAAAGTAAAAATAATTTTGAGTAGTTATAAATGATTAATAATTATAATAAAAATATAGATATAAATCCAAGTTATGTGTTGTTAAAATATATGTTGGATCACGTTTTGAACCACAAATGAAACAGTTGGATCAGTTATATCCAGACCCATTAGTACATGTTGTAGGCCTAACTGTTAATATTAGTCGACTGAGAATTTTATTAAAAAAAAAGAATAAAAATTATAATAAAATTTATAAATTTTGAATATTTCATTAAATGAATATAGATGATATAAAAATAACAGTTCGGAACAATAGTGGAACATATGGTTGCATCGCAACTCGATGACGTTTACTTTGGATGGTATAGACGCTCGTTCTATTTGGTGAAGAGCCGTCAGTTATTGGAGACGACCAGGGCATTGGCGTTAGAAAATAACTAGTGGAAACGGCCACCGGTTGGTAGATGAAAATAAATTCTGACGGGGCTCGCCATCGTAGCTCCAGTAGCTCTTCTTGTGGAGGTGTTATTCGAAATCATGAAGGTATTTGGAAAATGGGGTTCACTAAGTTCATCGGTATATGTTCTGTTGCGGAAGCAAAGCTTTGAGGCATCTACGTCGGGTTGTTATGTGCTTGGGAGTTGGGCTGTCGCCGAGTGATCGTTGAGGTTGACAGCACTGAGGTGTTGAGGATGATTCAAATTGCTAAGGATGGTCCGTACAGGGTTACAAGTTTGGCTTATGTTGCGGATTTGTTAAAGAAGGATTGGGAGGTGTGCTTCCATCATGTGATGTGATTGGGGAATCAAGTCGCGGATGGTATAGCAAAGTTGGCATGAAGGGATACGTATGAGTGCGTTAAGTTTCAGGTCGCGCCGGGGGATGTGATCACGCTGGTTGAAGAGGACCTGCGAAGCTCGGGGGATGTTTAATTCGGGCTACTAGTCGTTTCTTTACCCCAAAAAAAATTAATTATAGAATTCTCAGTTATAGAAATGAAAGATCCAACCATAATAGGATTAAGCTGTGTATAATATATGCAAGCTGTTCATCTTTATAAAAAAATGAAAAAAAAAGAAGTTTCACTCTTTCTCATTTAAAATGAGAGTTGCAGTAGATGATGTATCTATCGTTAGTCAGTGTCAAAGTGTCATATTTCTATAAAGAGATATAAAAGATATGACCAGGGATGAGTGGTTCTATTCGAGTTTCTTCTCTTCTCTCGATCTTTATGGAGAGATTTTATAGTGAGTTTTAGAGCTGGTGTTAAATGCAAGGTCATTCATTATGAGTACTTGTAGAGTAATAAGTTAAGTGAATATGATCAACAGTAGATTTAGCTCTGATAAATCACGTGGACTTATTAGAAATCATGTCAACGGGTCACAACTTTTCGAGAGATCTTTAGTATTTAAGACATTTCTTCTAAAGACATTCTTTCAAAGATTATAAAATATAAAATGGATATACATAAGACCTTTGATCGGGCTATAAAAACGAAAACAAATAACCCTTAGGAACAAACAAACGAAAATGCAAATACAGGACCAATTAATGAACCAAAATATCTTCATGTACATAGTTTTTTTTAGGTTAAAGTGGGCCGTCAATTATCTAAAAGAAATGCTTGGGTTTCTTTTATGACATTAATTGTCATTAAAATTTGACAAAAGGTTTCACCTTATCATCATTTATGTAAGTTTATTTGAACGTTCATGTGACAAAATATGTTGGCATTATTTTTTTTATAATAATATGTTGACATTAATTAATTATAAAGAGTTCGTTGAATGTGATCGGTTCATTTCCATGAATGATCTCATGTAACAAGACATTTATTTATTGACCGTATTTGTTTCTCAATTTTCATGCTTTAGGCGTTTACTTCGATGGCAATGATCCTTTTTACCTATAGTAATTTTTTATTTTTATAGAATCAACTATTTCTATTCAAATAAAAAATATCTCAAACTATAATAAAGATTTACAATACAATCATAAATTAAGCACATAATTCGAAATTTTTTGTATAATTATTGAAACAAAACTAGTAACTTAAGATCACATAAGAACCATACAAAGAAATATTAAATTTAACCAAGAAACTCAAACAATGATAGATACAAACAGATCTGATTGCATTGACAAATGAACCACAAAAATCGATTAAGTTATTGACAGACCACCGAAAAACATCAAATCATACTTTAGCGACGTGAAAAGTTATCCATGAACGCAAATCGAGTATCCAAATCCAATTCGATGGTCCAAAGCAAGAAATATCACTAGATATCAGATAAGCGCCATCTTGATTAGTCGTGGCGATGTCAAATCAACTCTTAGAAGAAAAAAATTACCAAAAAACCGAAAAAACATGCCAAATAACATAAAAAAGTGTCATAAAAACATATGAAAAATGTGCAACACAGATAAACTTATTAAAAATAAAAAATAAAGATGCTATATAAAAAAGAAAAAGAAAATAAAGAATATCAACGGTCGGTAACCAACATTAAAATTAATACTACCGTTGATAAACAAAGTCGAAAAAAAGATGACCACACATCAATAAGAAAAAAAATTAAGTTTTTAGGGTTTTTTTTTCTTTTAATAGGGTGTCCGATTACATGTTTCTAGAGGAGTTCCATATAGTAATTACTAATTAAAAACCACATGTCAATGCAAATTAAATATAGTAATAATATGTTATTGTTAATTAATTTCCACTGTTCATTTAATCATTTGAGCTAAAAGTTTGTAATAGTAAAAGATTAAAATCGCATGATAATATAAAGAAACGTGTCACCCTCCCACACCAGCGTAGTTTCCCATACGTATTTGGTTAATAAAGATAAATCATATATAATTTAGTGATATTCGCTAATTAAAAACGAAAGATTTGTATTTTGATTTTGTTGGTGGTTAAATATTGTAAATCATCTTTTTGGTAAGTATAATTATTGATATAATTAGAATTGTGTAATAAATTAATCTATCAGATAGTTTGATTCGTTCATCATTCTTTTATCACTTTGTAAAATGTCTTGTTCTACAGAAACAATGAGTTTTTATGTATGTTACTGAATTAATTTGATGTTAGTCATCATTCTCAAGGGAATATTTTATTTTTCTTCGGATCTTTAAATTTAATATTTTTACTTTTATGAGTTTTTTGTGTGACTATTGTCTCTATTGTTTCTCGGTGCATTGTACTTCTAATTCTTTCTTTCATTTTTTTATTAATGATATCTAGTTACCATTGTTTAGAGATAAAAGATTTAAAATCATCATGTTTAATTATTTTAATATTATAATAATTGGAAAGTATTATTTTTTATAAAAAAGTTGCTACTTTTGTTAAAATATATTTAAAATTATAACAAAAATTATAATCATAAACTAAATATGTAATTAGGATATTTTTTATAAATAATTGACACACGAAATTAGTCATTTGAGATTATACCCGGATCATACAAAGAAAATATTAAAAATTAACCAAAAAACTCGAATGAAAGATTGATATGAACAGATCTGACTGTATCAACAAACTAACCACAAAAATAGATCAAACTATTGAAAGACCATCACTAAACCGCATATTAGAGCCAAGCGAATCGAAAAAACTATCTACAAATACAAACCGCATCTAAATCCAATCTGATTGTTCAAATAGGGAAGATCAACATGATATCCAATAAGCAACATTTAATTTAACGAAATCTATCAATTACAATAGTTATTGAAACATTACATGATAAATCCCGAATACAAATTTATTTTCTTTTCACGCTTTTCCCAAAAAAATTTAATCGTCTCAGATTTTTTTCTAAAAAGGTAGAAGATAGAATCCGAATCATTTCGGATTAAAGGGAAATATTAAAATTTCATCTACCTAATTGACTTCATCGTTTGTCAACCAAAATTTGAATTCTTGATCAAAATTTATCGAACCTACAAATCTCTTTGAACCGCAATTTACTTTGACTTTTGCGTGCAAATTATACACCAACTTGTATAGCCCATAAATAACTTTTGGGAATCAACTTTGTTCCTTCTCCATCATGGCCTGTTTGATCATATATTACAAAAAATAATAATTATGGAAAACCACAATTAATACACCAAACTTAGCAAATCGTTAAAGCCAGGCATGCAACATTATAGACGTTTAAACAGGCAACATTAAACATGTTACCCATTACTAACTTTGTAACGCCTTAATCCAATTAGGCATGAAGATCCGTGGATTATAATGTTACTCGGGACTACCAAAATAGTGACCCAAAATTTACTTTTAAAACTGCTTGTAAATCTCTGAAATTTAGACATTTATAAAATAAAATAAAATAAAAACATAATAATGAATTGGGTTTAAAAATAATGGGGAACTCCCAAAATAC